TAGACACAGAGACAAGTAAGCACAAATGGATGTGGGGGAGGCAGATGCCATATGAAGGTTGTCAGGAAAGTGAGGAAGGTCAGGTCGACAGCTTAAAGGCACAACCATCTTCCCCAAGGGCTGACAGAGACAGAGCCTTCCCCTAGAGCTGGTGCCCTGAATTCAGACTTCTAGTCTCCTGAACTATGAGAAAATAAATTTCTGTTCTTTAAAGCCACCTACCTGTGGTGTTTCTGCTACAGCAGCACTAGGACACTACAACCAGTGGTGATGGGAGTTCTCTCAGGACTAGAAATCTAAGCGGTATATTTGATTTTCAACTTCATAGGCAAGCAGCAGAGACTCCCGGACTGTAGCAAGTGGCTTGACCAGTTGGTCAGGGACCCAGAGGTGAATGGTAAAGATTAGAATCAAGGAAGCCTAAGGTGGGGAAGAGGTATGTAGATGAGAGTTAGAGGAGAAATCAAATGTGTGTCTTTGTCTCTTATCAATGCCCACCCATTAAAGAGGGCCACTGCAGAGAGGGCAACAAGTAACCAGATGGACAGACGACCCTTCCACTGGAGACTGGTCTGCCTCTGTCTTTGGCCACTCAGTGCTTGTACCAAAACAAAACAAAACAAAAAACCAAACTCACTGCCATCAAGTTGAATTAGACTCATAGCAAACCCCTTTGGGTTTCCAAGGCAGGAAATCTTTACAAAAGTAGATTGCCCAGTCTTCCTTCTATGGAGTGGCTGGTGGGTTTGAACCACCAACTTTCTGATTAGCAGTCAAATGCCTTAGGCACTACAACATCAGGGCTCTTTAGTGCTTGTACAAGAGGGATAAATTTGGCATGAACCTGATCTAGCTACTGAGCTCTTAACAGGATACCATCCCTAGAGGGAACCAGCCAGCTTCTTCATACAAGTTAATTACACCAGACCCTTACCGTGCTAGAGGCAACAATGATCCATTTCCCCCAGGACTGACATTTCCTCTAGATAAGGGGTTTTCCAGCCCTGCTCCAGTGCCTCTGCCTGTGCACACAGATTGCAGAGGACCTGATTTACTGACATGGGATCCCACCCAGCATCCCTCATGCTGAGGAATCCACTTCTAGCAGGCGACGCAGTAGGGTTCCAAAGAACCTCAAGCCATGAGTGCTGGCAGACCAGCATGTACATGCCGGTGGGGACAGATGACCTGAGTATTCTGAGAGAAGGCCAAGTGGTGGTGGAATTCTCACTTTCCATGCTGGAGATCCAGGTTCAGTCCCCACCAATGCACCTCGAACATCGCCACCACCCAACTGTCAGTGTTACTAACATGCTGAACAAGTTTCAGTGGAGCTTCCAGACTAAGATGGACTAGGAAGAAAGGCCTGGTGACCTCCTGCATGGAAGGTGAGCATCTACCGCTGAACCACCATTATTAATTTCCCACTAGGAAACCAATAAAAAGCCCAACTAGTCACCATTGAGCTGATTTTCACTCATGGTGACCTCATGTGAGTCAGAATAGAATTGTGCTCTGTAGGATTTTCACTGGCTGATTTTTTGGAAGTAGATCACCAGGGCTTTCTTCCAAGGTGCCTCTGGGTGGACTCAAACTACCAGCTTTCAGTTAGCAGCAGAGTACTTAACTGTTTGCAGCCCTCAGGGACACCCTAACTTGTCTCAGGCCCTGCCTTAATAGAGAATGGTTAATGCCTGAACCAAGAGGACCATAGGTGTGGACTCTGGTTAGCAGGAGTGCCCATCAGCTTGTCTTTGAAGGGAAGACAGGGCAGGCGCCTGGGGTACAGTCAGCACTCATCTTGTCCCTGAAAGAGCAGGGCTGCAGGAGATGGGGAGAGCTGGTGCTGGGTCTCCAAAGACTCTGGCCCCTCTAATCACCACCTCCAGATTTAGGGAGGAGCTGCTTCTGCTCAGACACATTGAAGTCCAGTTCTCAACACACACATCCTAGCTTTCTGCCACAATCCATGCCCCCAGCCCTGGGGAGGGGAGGAACGTCCTGCTGGCCTCAGTCCCCACACCCCCTGCCACAGGTTGCACTAGCGCCCCCTCCTCAGCAGGCTCGCTCAGCTGCAAACTCTGGTACAGCCTTTAATCTGCTCAGATCATCACTACAGAAATAGAACTCAATGTTTAAAAAGTACCAGCCTTCCCTGCTTGCTACCAGCCCTGTAAGACGTGGGCAGAAATAGCAGCCACAGCCGGGAGCGATCGGGGAGCGCACTACATGCGGGCGGAGGTTCTGGGGGTGGGCTGTGCCTCGCTGCAAGGGCCCAGGAGCCACAGAGGCTGCTTTAAATAGATCCTCGTGGGCACACAGCAGCAGAAAGAGGGCAATGCAGGCAGCCAGGCACGGGGCTGGGGGCAGGGTCCTGGACCAGGGAGGTCAGCCCAGGCCAAGCTCTAGGACCTTGCCCCACACTGAACATCCACTTGGAAACTGGAGCCGCCTTGCTCTGTCTTCCTCAGGCCTCAAGGGTCCTCAGTTCACCAGGAGTAATTGATGTGTGTGTGTGGGGGGGTAGTCTTGGCCCAGCCAGGTAGCTAAATGGGTGCCCATCTGGGGACTTGGGTTCCCCCAACTCTCTGGGAAGCAGTGATTCTGCACAGCGGACTGCAGCCAGAGGGAGTCAGAGCTGAGACGGGGAGAGGTACCTGGGGGTCTCAGGCACTCATGCAGGTGACATCCCCACACTCAGCAGTACCCTGGCTTGGCCCACAGTCTGAGCGCGGTGTCTCTGCCACAAGACCTCCTCTCAGACAGGCTGGCCTTGGCCACTGTCCCCTCTGCCGTCTGGAGGTGGCCTGAGGCCCAGCTGACCCAGATCCGGCCCTCCTGCTCCTGGCCACCTGTCCCCTCATTTTTCTGAGGTTTGCTTGCACTGGGGCCTGAAGCTCCTCGGCCGCCCCTCCTCCTCTCACTCTTCAGAGCAAAAGCCCACAGTGGCAGCCATGAAAGAAGAGATCTTTACGGCGTGAGGTGGAAACAAGGCAGAGCTGGAGGCTGGCCAAGTGTGGGCCCAGGGCTGTGTCCTCCTCTGTTTAGGATGTGGCCTGTGTCTCTGGCCTCGATGGCTTCATACTCAGTGGTGGTTTCTGCCACCTGAGCCTGACCCATCATGACCTGCCCCCAGCATCTTACCACCCCAGCCCTTGGCCTCAACTGCTGTGGACTGCTGGCCGGTCAGCCATGGCTGCAGAGCAGATGGCCTTGCCAGGCAGCTTTTCTAGATTTACATAAAGTCATCACTAAGCTCCCCCAATGTGTGTCTGGGGATGGTCCTCTGGGAGAGGTACCCTAGGGCCAGTAGGCCTGGTATTGGGCGGCAACGGCCTCTGGGTGAAACAGACAGCAGAGCCCGCACAGCTGTCCCTCTAATTGCACTGGGCCTCTTCCGAGTGCAGTGATTGAAGCATCGGAAAACCCAGACCCCTTATCAAGAGCTGGGCGTCCAGGTGGCTGCAGCAGGGCAGACAGGACTCTGGGTGTTTGTGGCAATTTGGTGGACTTAGTTTACCCACTGCTCATCCAAGAAGGCATTACAGGGTTGCCGTGGCCCTGGGGACCCACCCAGGAACAGGGTAGAGTGTGGCTGTTCAATCCACCTGGCCTCCTGCCCCTCTGCCTGCCTGCCAATCCTCCCAGATGTGGATATGACCACACAATGGAGGGTGGCCAAATGGATGCTAGAGGGTTCTGGTCCTGCCTTTCCTCAGGCTTCAGTGGCCACAGAGCTACAGGAAGACCATGGGCTTTGGGTCAGCTGGCCCTGAGCTCAGATGCCAGCCCTACCTCCATCCTGTATCTATGAGGAGGATATCTGGACCTGGACCTTATCTGAGAAATGGACCAGTTACAGGAGGAACATGACACAGTGTGTGAAAGTTGGTTTCTCTCTGCTATGGGCTGACTTATGTCCCCCCTAACAAGCTATGTTGAAGTCCTGGCCCCAATACCTATGAATGTGACCCTGTTTAGCACTAGGGTCTTCAGAATGACATCATTAAATCAACATGAAGACATACTGGGTAGGGTGGGACTAATCCCACCTGAGTGGTGTGCTTATGAAGAGAAGAGGCCCAGAGACAGACACAGAGGGAAGAAAGCCACGTGATGACAGAGGTATGCTACATCTATAAGCCAAGGAATGCCTGGGGCTCCCAGAAGCCAGGAGAGAAAAGGATCTTCCTCTAGTGGAGACAGAGAGAACACCACCCTGCAGACATCCTGAGTTTGGACTAACACCCTCCAGCACCATGAAAGAATAAACCCCTGTTATGATAAGCCACCCAGTCTGCAGAATTCTCTTACAGCAGCCCCAGGAGACTAAGACACTCTCTTTCCAGAGTCTCTCCCTGCGCCAACTCTGGCCTCCTAGCATTGAACAGCCTTCTCCGGGGATCCTCAGCTCCCTGCTTTCCCCTGGTACACAGTCCATGTTCAACCCTGGAGCTTCTATAGTCTGTTCCCTGCCCACACACTGTGACTCTGCAGGGTGGGAACAAGAGCCCTTCTAGTGGCTGGGCAGGGGATCCAGGCATGGGAGAGGGCCCCCACTGCAGCTATGGGGATGCAAAGTGACTGCCAGCCAGGCCCCAGGCTTTATTTCATGCAGGGACCCAGGAGCCCTCAGGGTTGCTCCTCACCACCATTCCGTCCACAACAACAGTAATGAGCACAGTCTAAAACAAGACAAGTCACAGAGCTGTAAGATCACATCCTTTTCTGAGTCTAAAGTCCCAGCTCCTCCCATGACCAGTGGTCTGCTGCACCATGTCTTGCTCAATCTGTACCAGAGGCCTCTAGGGGAGCTGGTCTTCAGAGTAGGGGTAGGAGCCAGCGATGAAGCCTGGGAGGGTGGGGGGTTGAGGCTCTCCACCTGTCGTCCATCACCCCACTTTGAAATGCACAGAGCAGGCTGGCTGATTCAACGGTTTTTCTCCCAGGAGAACCTGTGTCCCCTTCAAGCCACTGTTCCTCTCTTGTGACAAGCTCCCTCACATGGTGTAGGCTGCCCAGTAGATGACATTGACTGCAGCGAAGGCTGCTGGGAACACTGCACGGGCGTAGATGTCGATGGTATCCGCATCAATGGGCTTGAAGAGTGCCCGCATGCCGCCCGAGCGGGTCCCCTCTTGCCTCTTAGTCTCCCCCGTTTCCACCTCTGCAGAGCGGTAGGAGCCCATAAGGTTCCCAGGGGCACGGCCCTGCCTGTTGGAGATGGCCAGCTCCTGGTTGACACCGGCCACGGACAGGGAGAACAGCACGATGGCATTCTTCACATCAATCTGGAGGGGGGTGAGAGGCAGGGCTGAGTCTGTCATCGCTCCCACTGAGGGCAGGTCTCCTACTGAGGATCCATATGGAGGATCCCCTACAATGAGAACCCCTCAGTGAGGATCCCACTTAGGTCAATCAGATCCTGTTCTCCAGGAGCTCAGGACCTGGCAGTGGACCCCTAGAACCCGCTGGCAGAGGTGTCCCCAGGTTGAGCCCAGGAAAAAGTAAGTGGCCCTCAGCAATGCTGCCCATCACCCACCAGGCCAGACAGTGGAGGTGCTGTCTCGACCCTGGAGACCACAAGCAAAGCCAGCCTGGCCCAGCCTCACCTCAGCCCAGCCTCACCTCAGCCCTTTGCTCCTTGACCTTGACCTTGGCCTTCTGCTTTTTCCTGTAGTCGGCATTGAAATGGGCAAAGGCATATTCCACCAGGGCAGCAAACACAAAGACATAGCAGATCCAGAAGTACACATCCAGAGCTTTGATGGCCGAGGCCCGTGGGAGGGAGGAGCGGGCGCTGACCATCAGTGTGGTCATCGTCAGCACTGTGGTGATGCCTGCACCCAGGGGTGCCCTTGTGTCAAAGCCAGCCCCTGCCATCCTCTCTCCCATGCCCTCCACCTCCCTGAGCAGGGCCTTGGCCCCAGAGGAATGGCATCTTCCAGCTCCGCCTACCCCACTAAATGCTCCTCTGAACAGGGATGGTGGAAGGGGCTAGAACACCAGGCCTGAGCTCATGGTCCACAGTCAATGGGTTCTGCTCCTGGCTTCCACCCTCCACCAGTGCCCTGTCCCCCCACCTCTCCTGAAGCCCCCAAGGAAAGTCAAGGCTTCCATACCTAGAGACACCCTGGCAGGCACTGCAGCCTGACTGATCCAGAAGGAGACCCAGGACATGGCAACCAGGAGGATGGACGGCATGTAGGACTGGATGATGTAGACACCCCGGTTCCTCCGCAGGTGGAAACGCAGGCTGAGCCGTGGGAACTGCCCAGCTGTGGAGGAGACTTACTGGGACCTGACCTGCCCTCCCATCTAGATCTGGTGCCTTCCCCCCTGCATACAGACCTGGTAACTTCCTCCCCATCTAGATCTGATGCCTTCCCCTCCATCCAGACCTGGTGCCTTTCCCCCTCCATCAGGACCTAGCACCTGCCCTACCCCTCTACTAGGACCCAGCACCAGTCCTCCCTGCCCTATTACATATCATGGGACTCAGGGATGGATGACTACTTGGGCCCACCTCAAGCCTCAAAAAGGAAGGAAGATCCCAGAGCCTGCCCTCCCCACTGCCCCAATCAGCCTGATGGGTCAGGGGCCCCTTGCCTTGGCCTTGCCACAGATCCCCTCACCCCCGTGAGAGGAGAACAGGTAGATCCTACACTGCCTCAGCTTCAACTGTGCTGACCTGGCCTGGGCCTGGGGACCCAAACAAGGGGAAGCTCTTCCTCTCCTACCTGCTCCCTCCCCCACAAGCCACCCAAGCCCCACAGAGTCAAGACCCAAGGAAGGGGGGCTGCTGAACTTGGCCATTTCAAAATGGGGCAGCAGAGGCAGGAGGGATGGGAGACAGAGAACAGGAAGGCAGGGAGGCTTAATTCCCAATGCCTATGGTCCTGGGACCAAGGGAGCCCCCCCACTCCTTTGGCTCCCCCCAAACTCAGAGTGTGTCTAGCACTAGGGAAATGACAGGGGACCAGGAGGATGATGGAGATAACTGGACCCCCTTCAGGCCTCTTCCAAGGCCCTCCTCTGTGCACAGCCCATGCCCACTGTTTCTATGTCAGCCCTTGGAGCTGTATCCTTGGGCCCTCTGAACCAGCAAGACCCACACAACCAGAACTGGCTCTCAAAGAAGGACATGCCTGGGCCTCACCTGATTTGAAGTTCATCAGCTCTGTGGTAAAGCGGAAGCTGGTGATGGTGAATTGGGCCAGCTGCAGCTTGTCCAGCCCGTGGATCTGCTCCTGGTTCTCCGACCAGTAGTAGACAATGTCCTCAGAGGAGTAGCCATCTGCAGGAGAGCCTACAGGTGGGCAAAGGGTGGAGCACCCAAACCCTGGGGCCCAGGGCAGGGCTCCCCTCTGAGCAGGTGAGTGGGGCCAAGAGTGCTGGCAAGAGTAGGGGGCACAGTGATTCTCCAGGGGCTGCCACACCTGGCCCCACAGCAACACTGATACCCACCCTATCTGGGACCCACAGCCCAGTTCTCTCCCAGGATGGGGGAGGGACCCAAGCTGTTTTAGGCCTTCTAGCTCCCACAGCTCCTGAGCCAGGCTGGTCTTGCCCAGATCCCAAGCTAGACAGCGCCCTCCACCCCTATTCTGTGCATGTCTGAGTCCTGTCTGACCATGCCAGTCACTGGCGGCACCAGCTCAGCCTCCCAGGGTGCAGCCCCTCCCCTGCCAGGCCCATGCGACTCACAGCTCTCCAGGTCCAGCATGCACTCCTGCTCATCCATGGGGTACTTGGCCAGGTCCATGTCACAGGCCACCGTGGAGGTGATTCTGCCCACACAAGAGGGCCAGTTAGCTACATGCCGGTGAGGCTGGCCAGTTCGGCCAGTACTGTAGACCCTGTCCCCAAGAGGCCTGGACATCCCTGCTCCAACCTTGAGAGCGTTCCCACCCAGTGCCACAGCCCGCCCCCCTCACCAAGAAGTGCTGCACCCTGTTCCCTCCAACACTGAGGGGTCACCCATATGCCAGGAGCTGCGTGGGGGCTGTCAGGCATCTGGGGAAAACTTCCTAAGTATCTGTGAATCTGTCTTTAGGACTATTAAGAATTGATTTTCACTTATTATTATTTTTTTTTTTTTTACCATCCTTCAAAATGCCTGGTCATTTGACCAAGTCGGAGCCTACAACGGCAGGTAGCAGGAGCACCGGCGTTGCCCCCAGGGACCATCCTCTGCATATTATCCCCTAACCCTGGTCTGCTGATGGCCGAGAGGCAGGCCCAGTGAACTGATTGTCCAAGAAGCCCAGACATCAAGATTTTCATGTAAAATCTCCTGGTGTTTTAATGCTGTCATGAATTCCATTTGAAAGGACCATGGAGACCACAAGTTGGTTTCCAGCTGGCATCCTCTGGAACCAGCGATGGCCCTGCCCCACTAGAAACATGCCTGGGCTATGCACATCTCCCCCTGTCCCACTCCCTGCAACAGTGTCTTTGGTTTTCTCCAGTCAGGGCCTGGATGTGGTGGGCCACAGGTGGGGAGGAGGGTCCAGGGCTCAATGAGTGCTGTATAGGATCACATCATCAGATGGGTGGGGGCCCCAGCACTTACTGGGTGCTGTGCAGGATCACCCTGTCAGGCAGCGGGGGGCCCACTAGGTGCTATACTAGATCACCCTGTTGGGCAGGCAAGGGGGGGCATGTCACTCACCGAGTGCTGTACAGGATCACCCCGTCAGGCTGCAACCGGATGAGCTTATTCTCCACAGTGACGTCATGGAACCAGGCCGACTTGGCATTGACAATGAAGGTGTCTGGGAGCCAGAGCCGGTCCACAAAGCGGCTGTCCAGGCCTAGTGTCTCATTGGTGTGGCTGTAGGAGAGCCTACTGTCCCGCCAGCTCTGATGCAGGAACACGGTCATGGTGTACTCCTTCGGAGGAGACCAGGGGTGGAAGGGAGATGGTGATCAGTCCTCAGCTTACCCCAAAAGCACACGGTGGGGACAGTGGAGACTGCAGTCAGCCTCTCGGCTCACCCTGAGAGCATATGGCTGGGGAAGTGGGGAGGTAGGGAAGGGGGTGGCAACGTACCATATTCACCTCCGAGATATGGTCTATGCTGGCCACCTCCAGCGCAAGTGCCACGTTCACGGGGGGCCCTGAGAGGAGGAGAAGGAGCCGGGCCTGAGCTGGATGGGACTGGGGCTGGACACCACCCACACCAGGAGCCAGGTCAGGCTCTGCACCAAGACCCCAAGGATGCGGGGCTGGGAGGGAACAGTAGAGAGTTTGCAAGGGGAGAGTGCAGTCAGGGTACAATCCTCATCAGAAAGGATTCACTTTCCTGGCTGCCTCCCCAGGGGGGCCTAGGGCTGAGGCTACCTTCCAGCAGGTCTGATAGATCCTGCAGAGGCCAGCCAGGCCTGTTCCCAGCCCAGCCCAGAGCCCACAGGGTACATGCCTACAGCCAGACACCACCCCCTTTTCTCACCTCCAATGCCGGGCCGGAAATTCCGGGCATAGCCCTCCATCAGGCCGTCCAGGTTGGGGAGCCAAGAGATCTCCAGGTTGGAGCCAACATAGTCACCAATGTCATTCATGGCTCTGGGGGACAAAAGGGAACAGGTCAGATTCAGATAGATAGGGCGTAGGGGGCTTAGTCCCCTCCTGGGGAGAGTCAGGGAGGCTGAGGGGCTCTAAGAGGACTCCGAGGGCAGGACCAAGGTCTGCTCCAAGGTTGGGGTAGTGGGTCTAAGACACATTGTCTTTTCCCTGCCCTTTCTGCTCAGCTCCCTGGCCCTCCGCCCAGCTCTGCAGAGGCTCCATTGGACAGAATCTGCCCAATGGCCTCCCATGGTTCCCTTTGGAGCTCCTTATGCTGGAGGGAATGTGTGCAAAGAGATGCTGACCAGGCAGTGAAGGGTGGGTGAGGAGGGCCACAGCAGCAAGCTCCACCCTAGGACCAGGGTAGGCCAAGGATCAGGGCAGGCTACAGCCACCTGACTGTCCCATCTCAGGAAGACCCAGGCCTGCCCCAGAGGTCCCCAACTGCCAGGAGCTTCTGGGGCTTAAGGTGACTCCAGAGAAGGTAGAGCTTCACTCCATGGCTACATTTGCTGGCTGCTCACTACTGGCTGTTGTGCATAGCAGGGACTCTGGGAGTGCCTACAGGCCACCCAGAGGGGCCTCATATGCTTCACAGATAGAACATTGAGCTCTCCCAGCATCTCAGTCCCACCCTCTCCTGCCCCTGCCCCTCCGTCTCACTTGTTCATACTGGCCCTCCTCATCTACCTCTTCCCTTCTGATCATGTCTCCAAGTCTTGCCTTGAGATTCAGCTCTTGGCCCACCTCCTCCATGAAGTTGCTTCTAATGCTCCACTTGTTCATTCACTCATTCATCCTCAAAGGGCCATGTAGTCACAATAAGTCAGTCTGATGGCAGTGAGGAGACCCTTACTGAGATCTAACTGATGAAGATCAAAGACTACAGCCTTCAGTATGGATTATACCTCAACATAAAGAAAATAAAAATCCCCACAACTGGACAAATAAGCAGTTATCATGATGAGTAAAGAAAGATTGAAATTATTAAGGATTTCATTTTACTTGGATCCACAAACAATGCCCATGGAAGCAGCAGTCAAGAAATCAAATGATGTCTTGCATTGCAAATCTACTGCAAAAGATCTCCTTAAAGTGTTAAAAAGCAAAGATGTCACTTTGAGGACTAACGTGCACCTGACCCAAACCATGGCATTTTCAATCACCTCCTATGTACATGGAAACTCAACAATAAATAAGGAAGACTGAAGAACTTATGTCTTTGAATTATGATGTTGGTGATTAAATATACCACAGACTGCCCGAAGAATGAACAAATTTGTCTTTGAAGAAGCACAGACAGAATGCTCCCTAGAAGCATGTCTTTTGGACATGTTATCAGAGGGTCAGTGAAAAAGAAGACCTTCAACGAGATGGACTGACAGAGTGGCTGCAACAATGAGCTCAAGCATAGCAGCAACTGTGAGGACTGGGCAGGGTTTGCTCTGTTGTACACAGGGACGCTATGAGTCAGAATTGACTCAATGGCACCTAACAACAACAAAAGTCCCCTGTGTGCATTGTATGCTGTTGAATCAATTCTGAAACAATGATCCCATGTGACAGAATAGAACTGTCCATAGGGTTTACTAGGCTGTAATCTTATCACCAAGTCTTTCTCCTGTGGCTCCACTGGGTAACTTTGTACAACCTACCTTTTAGTTAGCACTCAAGCACTTAACTGGTTTGTCATCAGAGAAAAGTGTTCTCGTTAATGAAATTTTGAAAACTACTCATCAACCCTGTATGGTCACTTTGGCACATCATGATGGGCAGAAGGAGTGATGTTAGACAAAGCCTCCAGGTTTGTGCTCCACTCCAAATGGGCAGACACTGCTTCCCTCTGGTCCCTCTCAGTAATGACCCAGTGCTAGGCTGGGGGCAGGGCAGGCACTTTGGTAACAAAGCATTAAAGGGAATTAATTTAATACTGGCTGCAATTGAAGTACAATTAAAAAAAGAAATTGAGATCACCTTCAAGGTCAAGTGTAACGGGATTTGGGACACCAAATTGTGCACATAAGAGATAGACAACAGATGCTAATACCAACAAATGTGTCCACAATACTGCATTGCCATTAACACGAAACACCAGGTTACAGATAAACACATAAACACCTGAAACGATCAGACGGGGGTCGGTGAACAGAAGTATACTCTAGACCAAGGATAGATTCAGCTGAGGCTAATCTTGCACAGACACCAGTAATACAAAATACCTGCAACCCTTACAGAAACAATAGTAGACAGACAGAGTAATCCCTCACAGACAACCAGACACTATGGGAGAGAGATCCAATAGATCTACTATCTCAGGACCATAGTACTGGGGGGCACCAGACTCAATGGACACAACAAAATACATAAAAGCCTTGTTCCACATCTTGCATTGGTGAGTAGTGACTGGGGTCTTAAAAGCTTTCAAGCGGCCATCTAAGATGCAGTGAACAGTCTCTTAGCATTGGAATTGAAGAAGAGTGCAAAAAAACAAGGGCATTTTGAAGCAATCCGCCCTAGGACACGAAGGCCCTCAAGACCAGAAGAACTAGATGGTGCCTGGCTATCAATGCCAACCACTCAGGAAAGGATCAGATCTGGAGATCCTGGATAGAGTGGGAGGAAAAACGTGGAATAAAATCCAAAAACTCAATAATGACCAGAATTACTGGTCAGATGAAATCTGATGAGACCCCAATGCTATGGCCCTGGGAGACATTCTGCGCCTGGAACAAAATGCACCCCCAGGGGCTGCCTCTCAGCTGAATAGTTAACAAGATGTACATGCAGACCATTCAACCCAGGATGATACACCCACATACTCTATGATAATACATCCCTTAGAGCAATAGGCCATGGGGCACCAGAGGACGAACATTCAAATTGAGGAAGTGTAGGACAAATGGGAGTGCATGAGTATGGGGGGAGGGTTGTGGGGTGCGGAGAGAAGGAGACTGGGTTGGGGTTGGACATGGTGAGTGGGGAATGAAACTAAATGTACATGTAACGTTGAATGTAAAACAAGCTCTTAAAATAAAAAATGAATAAATAAAATAAAAAAGTGTAAAGGAATTTGAATTAGCTTTATTTTAGATCAGCTAAGCTGCCATCTTGCAGTAGTGTTGGTGGCCTGGATGATGTCCTTCCTGGGCTTGTCTCCTACTGTCAGGGGTGAGGTAGGGGCATATGTAGATACACTTTCCCTTTTGCCCAATACCTGGCTTGCAAAGGGGCATAAAGGCAAGACCACCCCAACCCCAACATGAGGCAAACCTTGAAAGGACAGAATACCAGCAGACTTCCCAACTCTCACCATCTCCAGGGGCATAGGGAACTTGTTGAAAAGGGAAGCTCCTCCCTCCCATGAAGCCTCTTTTATCTAGGACAGTGGGGTCATTTTTCCAGCTGGGAACAGGGGGGAAGGGCCAGGGCACGAGGGAGTGTGCTGCATGCACGACTCTGGATTCTAGAGGGATCCCTTTTTCTCCCCCTGCTCAAGATGGGCAGGGAAGGTAATGGGGTGGGCAGGGTGCAGGCCCATCATGCAAGTAGCCCAGCAGGAGACAGAGGTCTCATCTGATGGTTTGGGAACTGACTGTGGCCTAGGATTGGGGCGTGTTTCAGATAGATGGACAGGAAAGCTTGAGTTAAGGAATTCACACTCATGGGACAAAACCGGCCACAGACAACACCACAGCCTCTGCCTTGGGCTACCCTTGTGGATATCAGGCCTCCCCCACTCCTGGCCCCACTGAAAAAAGGCCCCCCCCGGAGACAGACAAGGAAGGCAGGAGCAGCTGAATGAGGCAACGCCCCCCACTACGAGCCTGCCTGAGTCCATACGCAACCCACAGATTCCTGACAGGTATGCGAACAGCAGCACAAGCTGCTCCAGTATCTCAGTTGCCAAGGCAAAGAGGCAACTGCAGCATCAAGCTTCAGGCACAGCTTTTCCAGGGAGATGGACTGCCAGCAGCTGGTGGCCCCCAGTCGGCCACAAAGCTAGCAGTCCATGTCCATTGTGTTCACAGACCTTCAGATTAAGGGAGGTTATCTCTGGTGGACCTGCAAACCGCACAGTGCAACTCTGACTTATAGTGCATCCTTGTCTTATGGCACAGTCCCATGTTAGTCCAATCAAGCCCTTTACACCAGTACCCACTGGAATCTGGACTAAGGAGTGAGGGATGGAATGGGGCCCCCTGTCAATTCCAAAGGGGACTTTCAGTTATCTCACAGTCTTCCCCAGGAAAAGTCAAGACAGCTTCAGGGACAAGAACCCCAGAGGCTGAAGGAAGGGAGGCAACTTTCTCTTGGGTCCTGGAGTGGAAGGACACACAGCTGATGGAAGGGGGTGCATCAACTGGGCAGGACCATGCTAAGGCTGACCACCCTCCTTCAAGGCCTGTTCCTCAGACCTGCTGCCAGTTCAAGTCACGAGTGAGTGGAAAGTTAGGCGTACCCCTGGGTCAGAGTTAATTACTTGTGCATGATCAAGAATCATTGCAAATGATAGCCTTTAAAGTATAGCAGGATGGATCTGTTCTAATCAGGGCAGCAGATGAGACTAGCAGTACTGTGACTACTGAAGCATCCAACCCCATCTGAGACACTTCCCCTATGGTATGTCCTTCTCAGGGCGGGCTGGGACCTCCAACAGTCTTGAACTGGCAATAGGCACACAACCCCTTCCCAGCATCCCTGGAGCAGATGGAAGTTCAGAATTAGGAATTTTTCAGATTTTCAAAAGGCGATATAGTGCACATGTGGAGTTGGGGGGGGGGCGCGGGGAATGGAGTTGGGAGCATTTTGAAGGAAGAAATATCTAAATAGCTGCCAGAAGTAGGATTAACAGCCTCACATGAGTTCAGGGCAGGTTTTGACAGCAGATGAGCTTTAGTATCAAACTTAAGCTACAATTTTGAGGTTTCAGAGCTGCTTGGGTTTCAGAATCTCGGCTGAGGTACTCTGATCTGAGCCAGCAGTGGTCCTCAGCACTTCCAGCACTTCCACCCACACCAGGCCTCAGTCTCTTTGCCCTTCCTGGGACCTTGAAGTAGGAAAAGGAGAAAGGGAGAGAGCCCATGGAATTGATAAAAAGGCTAAGATCTTCTGAAGACAGGGCTGCTGCTCATTAAGCCCGCAAGTAGTGCTGGCCTGTGACCTCAGCCAACATCCATGTCTGCAGCCAGCCCCAGGCCTTTCAGTCCAGGGCTTTTAGGCTCTAATACCACCCACGGAGAGCAAGAATGCTGCCCCCTCCCACAAAACATATTGACTGAATGTCTACAATCAGAACACTGGCTGATGGGCAATGATTCCATTTCTAACATCTTAAATGTCCACCATTTGGTCAACCACCAAGTCTAGGAAGCTGAGGGCCTGTCTTTGCTCTGGGTTTTTGGTTGCTCCCACATTGAGATAGTTTCCAAATGGCTCTTTCCTGATCTTTATGGCTCTCCATAGCTCTTGTGGGAGGAGGTCAGGCTCAGTGCTGGGACCTAGACTCCAGGGCAACCTGGGAGCCCATTTCAGGTCCCCAGAGAGGAAAGTGGAGCTGGGATTTTGCAGGTCACTGGAAGTGGGAGAGGGAGCCCAGCTTGGAGACCTTTATCCTTGGCCTCTTCCTTCTCTGGGGAGGTAGGCTTTCCCCTCCCCACCTCAGGGCACTTGGCTGTCTTCCCATCAGCTTACTTGGGTGCTCAGTCTATGCCACCTGAAGTGATGTGAAGAAGACCCATCCTCCTGGGTCCAGCACTAACAGCCATGCCCAGCTGTGAGGACAGGCTTTCCTGGGTCTAATCCATGGCCGGCTGTCTGCGGTGGAAGCGCATTTGTGTAGCTCGGCTCCCATTCCAGAGCACGCAGCCTCCCCCGTGTTCTCATGATCCTTTCTTCCTGCCTCCAGCTCGTGGCACGCTGAGAGCTTAGCTCCGCGCCTGGAAGGGCACCAGCTAGGGCAGGGACCGGGCCACAGGAGGAACGGGGCTGGGTGCCCTGGGTCAGGAGAAAATGGGTAGTGGCAGTAGAGCCACTACGACGTTCTTCTCACCGGGCGGCGTCCGCGTTCAGTACCGAGACGGCGGACAGCGACTCAGGGCGGCGGGGGCGGCCTGCGCGTGGGTCTCTGAGTCCCGCGCGCCAACAGCAGAGTAGCGGCGACTTGGAGAAGGGGTTGAGTTGGAGAAGACCCAGGGTAGGGGCGGGATGGCCGCGGTTCGCGCCTAGGCTCTGGAGAAGCCCAGCAAATTGGTCTCGACCGGAGTGGGAGCCCGAGAGTGCCTACCGAACTGGGGACGCTTTCCGCCCGAACCAGCCTCCCGGTGTGCGAACCGGGCGGCGCGGAAGCTCGCTCACCTGGTGCCGCGGTGCTGTTGGGCGCAGAGCAGCAGAAGCGGAGGCAGCAGCCAGGCCAGCGCGGCCATGGACTCGGCTAGAGGCCTCAGCTTGGGACAGGGCGGTCGGCGTCGGGGTCCGCGCCCACAGCGCGCGTAGGCAAAGTTGCTTCGCCGCGGCGGCAGCACAGGCAGGCGAGGCGGGAGGTAGCGCGCGCGGGCGCGAGGGGCTGGCGGAGCTCGGAACCCGCCCCGCAACAGGACCGCCCCGCCCCCGGACCAGACCGCACCCCCAGCCACGGAACTGGTCCCTTCAGCTCCTCCTGCCCTGAGCAGTCACTCCTCAAGTGTCTCCCACCAACTGAGACAACACGTCCTCTACGCCCCGCCCAAACATGTCCCTCCCCCATCTCCGAACCGGACCACCCCCTAGCCGCCCTCTCTCCCCAGAACTGAACTGCTCCGTCCTGCCCCCACAGTGTTGGCGCTACTGCTCTTCTGGCAGACCTCCCCTCGCAGGCCAGAATCTAGTCCCTCTGCCCGGATGCCAACACCCTCGTGGACAGGCCTCTTGCTGCCCTGTCGAGGCCAGTGGCATCACCAGGATTGATGTCAGCTCTCCCCTGGACCTCTCCCATACAAGATCATACAGATTTCTTAATAATATTTATTACCATTTTTAAAAGATTTTTATTGTGATTTGGGTGTAAGTTTACATAACAAATTCATTTTCCATGTAGCAGTTCATACACATTTTGTTTTGTGACATTGATTACAATTCCCCACAATGTAACAGCTCTCTTCCCACTTCCTTCCTGTAGTCACCTCTTCCTCACATCCTTTTCTATGCATTCCTGCCTGCCCCGCCCCAGCTATCTCCCTGTGCAAACACTGCCCTTCTGTTCTCCCAAGATTGACTGATGGCTCCAAGAAGTGTATCTACCTGATGTAAATGTACACCCCATATGCCTGTCTATTGTTTGGATGGAAGCCACCATTCCAGACCTGAAGGGTAACTAGGGGCCAGAGTCTCAGGGGTCTCACTAGACTATATTAGACCAGCAAACATGGTCTTTTTTTTTTTTTTTTTTTTAAATGATTTTTACTTTTGTTCCAATTGTTCTCCCATTCTATGCAGGATCTCCTGCACTGATCCCCCTCTGGGTGTATAGTTTATAGTGGTAGTTGGGGACCATCTAGTTCTTCTGGTCTCATTGTCATATAGGCTGAGGATCACATGGTCCACTAGTTCCTTGGACTAACTGTTCCCACACACCTTTGATTTTCTTCATTCTTCTTTGCTCTGGATGAGGAAAGACCCATTGTTGCATCTACATGGCCACTTGCAAACTTTTAAGACCCTAGTTGCTACCCACCAAAGTAGGATGTAGAACACTGTTTTTGTGTGGTATGTTATGCCAATTGAGCTTGATGTCCCCTGCGACCATGGTCCCAAGCCCACATTGTTATTGTTGTGAGGTGCCATCGAGTCATCTCTGACTCACAGTGATCCTATGTACAGCGAAACAAAACTGCCCAGTTCTGTGCCAGCTCCACCATCCCTGCTATACTTGAGCCCATCATTGCAGCCACTATGCTAATCCATCCCATTGAGGTCCTTCCCCCTTTTTGTTGACCCTCCACTTTACCAAGCATGACATCTTTATCCAGGGAATGGTTCCTTCTGACAACATGACCAAAGTAGGTGAGACGAAGTCTGGCCATTCTCATTTGCAAGGAGATTCCAGCCGCACTTCTTCCAGGACAGATTTGTTAGTTAGTTCTTTTAGCAGTCCATGGTACTTTCAGCATTCTCCTCCAACACCACAACTCAAAAGCATTGACTCTTCTTTGGTCTTCCTTATTCATTGTCCAGTTCTCACATGCATATGAGGCAGTTGAAAATACCATGGCTTGTGTCAGGAGCACCTTAGTCTTCAAGGAGATATCTTTGCCCTTCAGCACTTCGCATCTGATTTGCCCAGTGCTATACATTGCCTGATGTCCTGCCATTGGTGTTGATTGTAGAACCAAGTAATATGAAGTCTTTGACAACTTCAATTTTTCCTCCACTTATTGTGATGCTGCTTATTGGCCCAGTTGTGAGGACTTTTGTTTTCTTTATATTGAGATGTAATCCATACTGCAGACTATAGTCTTCAGTCTTCATCAGTAAGTGTTTCAAGTCATCCTCACTTTCAGCAAGCAAAGTTGTGCTATCAGCATATCACAGGTTGTTAATGAGTCTTTCTCCAATCCTGATGCTACGTTCTTCTTCATATAGTCCCACTTCTCAGATTATTTGCTCAGCATACAGACTGAATAAGTATGGTGAAAGAATACAACCCTGACACACTCCCTTCTTGATTTTAAACCATGCAATGTCCCCTTGTTCTGCTCGAATGACAGCCTCCTGGTCTATGTACAGGGTTCTCAGGAGTACAATTAATTGTTCTGGAATTCCCATTCTTCTCAATGTTATCCATAATTTGTTATGATCCACACAATTGAATACTTTTGTATAGTCAATGTTGTGGTTACCTAGTGCTGCTCTGACAAGAATATATCACAAATGAGATGGTCTCAACAAACAGGAGTTTATTCTTACAATTTGGAGGCTTTAAGTGCAAGTTCAAAGTGCCAGGCTCTAGGGGCTGGTTGAAAGCCCCTCAACCTTGGGGTCCAGCTCTGCCTCCTGCTCCCGGCCCACTGGAGCTAAAGGCGTTTCTTCACTCAAACAGCTGCTGGCTGCTGAGGATGAGAAGCCCCAAGGTTGACAAGTAAAAAGGCACAGTCTTGATGTTACCAAACCACACGGCAGGCCATTAACTTAAGTCCACTGTAAGTCTCAAGGTCGGCAGAGCATAGCAGGCTGCTGAGCAATGACACGACTACATGCAGGGTCCAAGCGTGCCATATGCTAGAGACCATTCTTAAAGCTTCTCCTTAAATACAGGAAGCAGACCACATACCAAAAGGCAGCTACTCAGCTGCTCCCAGTAGATTCCACCATGGAATTGATTACCAGTCTCATGGGGAATACTATATCCAGCTGCCCAGCCACTCAACCAGGCCTAGCCAAGTTGACATACAAACATAACCATCATAGTCAATAAAATCAAAGCTAACATCTTTCTGGCATTCTTTGCTTTGAGCCAAGATCCATCTAACATCAGCTACGATATCCCTTGTTCCACGTCCTATGAATCCAGCTTGTATTTCTGGAAGTTCCCTGTCAATACACTGCTGCAACCATTTTTGAATTATCCTCAGTAAGATTTTACTTGCATGTGATATTAATGATATTGTTTGATAATTTCCATATTCTATGCTTTTCTTTGGAATGGGTACAAATATGGATCTCTTTCAGTCAGTTGGCCAGGTAGCTGTTTTCCAAATCTCTTGGCATAGCAGAGTGAGTGCCTCCAGCACAGCATCCATTTATTGAAACATCTCAATGGGTATTCTGCCTATTCCTGGAGCCTTGTTTTTCACCACTTCCCTCAGTGCAGCTTTGACTTCTTCTTTCAATATCATTGGTTCTTGATCATATGCCACTTCTGAAATGGAAGATCATAGACCAGTTCTTTTGGGTACACTCTGTGCATTCCTTCCATCTTCTTTTGATGTTTCCTGCATCATTCAAAATTTTGCCCACAGAATCTTTTTCAATATTGCAACTTAAAGCTTAATTTTTTTCTTCAGTTCTTTCAGCTTGAGAAATGCCAAACATGCTCTTCCCTTTTGGTTTTCTAACTCCAGGTCTTTGCACATTTCATTATAATAACTGATTTTGTCTTCTCAATCTGCTCTTTGAAATCTTCTGCTCAGCTCTTCTATCTTATCATTTCTTCCATCTGCTTTAGCTACTCTTCGCTCAAGGGCAAGTTTCAGAGTGTCTTCTGACATACATTTTGGTCTTTTCTTCCTTTCCTGTCTTTTTAATGACCTTTTGCTTTCTTCATGGATTATGTTCTTGATGTCATCCCACAATTCCTCTGGTTTTCAGTCTTTGGTGTTCAATGCATCAACTCTATTCTTTAGATGGTCTCCAAATTCAGGAGGCATATAATCAAGGTCATATTTTGGCTCTCGTGGACTTGTTTTAATTGTCTTCAACTTCAAGTTGAACTTGCATATAAGCAGTTGATGGTCTCTTCCACTGTCAGCTCCTGCCCTTGTTTTGGCTGAACATATTGAGCTTTTCCGTCGCCTCTTGTCATAGATGTAGTCAATCTGATTGAGCCCATAGGTCCCAACTACTCACTTCCTCAGGGTAGCTGGCTGTGGCCAAGAAACCACCACAACCTTGTCCCTTGTCAGCTCTACTATACACCTGGACATTCTTATAGCACATACAAATACACATGAACAAACATTGTCTGCCAACCCTATACATGGGCATGGGCCCACTCCCCCCTGCCTAAACATACCTGATCATTCATTCTGTCCACCATCTATCTACCTGTAGATCAATGCTTGCCATCACTGACAACACAGTACTGTACATGCAAAAGGGTTTCTCTTTGTTGTCTGTACCTCCTGTGTACCTCTCTTTGTCTTCCTCTCCTTAGTGCCACCGTGTTGATTACTCACTTTTGGTACATTGCCCTTCCCTTCACCCAAATCAATACTTGTCTCTACCTATTTTAATCATAGAACAAATATGTGATGTAGTTGTAAATTGCTTAAATGTAATACTTCTTAGATTGTATGAACACTACCAACAAAATTGATTAGTAAAATCTTTCTACATTGAATTTCACCATTAGTAGTTACAGCATTATTAACTGAGCAGAAGCCTTCTTTTTCTCCTTCTTTTCCTTTAATTACTACTTAATTTTCAAAAAAGTTATTGATAAAGGTTCACAAATACTACTTACCACAACATTGTAGATAAAACACCAGAAAATTTGACAAAACCAGCAACTACAAAAGCACCAGCAGCAATGAAAACAACAGTGCGTGCTCGTGCAGAGGAAACCACGAAACATTATTGTAATTGGGTAATAATAACAGCTCTGACTAGAGCATAGTAGAAGGTTTACAAAGTAAATTAGCATAGAGTTTTAGCCTTGTAGGTATATTGATAC